CGAAGAACATCCCATCGCCTATGCATTCAGAACGCTATTAGACGCTGAAACGCGTTATTCGGAGCCTGAAAGGGACTGCCTAGCTGTTTTCTGGGCAATCAAACATTTTAAACCATACGTATATGGACGGAAATTCATCCTATATACTAACAGCTCAGCAATGGCCTGGCTGAGAGACACGATAACTCGAACCTCTCGCCAAGTGAAGTGGAGATCACTCCTGCACGAATACAAATTTACCGTGGTTCATCGGCAACTAACACGTGAACATTATGCAGATGCTTTCTATGAAAATCCAGTGAAACAATCGGACCCTGAGAACGAGTTTTCTTCATCAGAATCAGACTCTGAACCCGAATCATTTAACGTTCTCCCGATTACGAAATCACCCACTAAACCCATCTTGAAACCAGAATCGGAACTTCCCCGGAAAGTTAACCCAAGATTGAGGGATGTGAACCTGGATGAATCAACAATGGCGTCAAGAATACGCCTTAGAAGAGGATCAGAAGGTTCTGGAAAAGAACGAATAAACTATAGAGAGGCTAGAACATACAGGCCGAGATTGGATAGCGCACCAACCGGTACAACAACTGAAAACCCTGCAAAACCATCATCAGTTGAGGCAGAGCCCGGAAAGAAGAAACGGGGGCGCCCACCATCCAAACTGGCCACTACAAAGCCAGAAATAACGGATGAAAAGCCTACAGACCAGACTCCTAAAGAAAAGGAAACAGAGGTCGATGCAATAATAGACATCATAGAAGCAGACGACCCTCAGAACGACCCGCAAGTAGGAGCTGAGGAGGAAACAACCCCCGAAACTGATAACGTTTTCGCCACCGGACCACCTGGACTGCAAGATGAAACTCCAGACTTTATTACTGTTATGGACGCCGACTCTTTTGATGCACGCATCGAGTCAGAGGATCAAAATGAGCAAGCTGAACATACTCCTCCACGCAAAAGTATGATCCCACGGGGAGGGCCTATAACACCCCAAGAAATGAGAGAAATAGGAACCACCATGATGACTCATAAAGACTGGATGGAGAAACATCATCAGAAAACTCCATCTCCAGAGAGCGTGGAATTATCTCCAAGGAAAGATCTAAGTCAACTCCACGAGGATTTTCATAAGTTATTAAAAGAATCGACAAAGAAATTCAACAAGGTTCTGGAGGAGATGAAAACGAAACCTGCAATCAAACAATCAACCCCCACGACTGTAGAGGTAGAAACCGATCAAGATGAAACCTCAACTAC